CGGACCGGGGGTTGGGGACCACTGTGTTACAGGAATAGAATTTAAATAGATTTGCCCAAAGATTATGAAACCTATAGTAGGTACATGTGAGTGGTGCTGGTATCCCAAGCGTGGCTCAAGATTTGAACCTATAGATCAATTTAAGAGGCTGCTACATTATCATACCTCCTATAACAATAATGTAAATATTCAGTGGGATTGTACTGTAGTTGAAATGGAAACTTGACACATAAAGGAAGAAATGCTGTAGGAAGTAATGCAAACTGTTATTATTTTTTATTGTGGCTCATTTTAAATAAATGAAGTCTACATTGAATTCGTAGAGTCACCTACTTGACTAATAAATGTACTGTAAAAACTAGTTTCCAAGCCAGACAGTCCCATGATTCTGATTAAAAGAACATTCTGACCCATCATTTTTATGGTAATTGTTAGGTTGGCCAGAAGGAACAATTAATTAATAGCTTATACTAGGCATTCTGAACTCTAGTCATTCCCACACTGTTCCATTCTTCTTCCTGGCTTGGATAATTGCAGAATAATGAAGATTTTTTTATATTTATTCTCTAGATCAAGAGGACATTTCAGAACAATTCAAAAGTGATGTGTCACAACCATCTGGAGACATAGTTAGTTGGAACCATGTTCCAATCCCCATGCCAGCAACAGGCATTTCACAGCAGGAGATAAGTACGTATTTAGTTCACTTCTGGGAATGCCTTGTTTGTAGATGGCTTGTTTATTATAAAACACACAAGTTGAAGGTTTTGGTAGAATTGTTTTTAAATTACATTAAATGCTGCTCTTTAAGCAGTTACTATACATAATAGGGAAATTATATACAGCAAGGGATTAAGAATGATTTAATTTTCTATGTCTAGAAGCATTCAATATGCTGCAGCTTTAGACTAAGCAAGGTGGCAAAAAAGAAAAAGGTTTGCAATTATTTTTCAATTGTCAGGTTCTTTTGTTATTTCTGTACAATAGTGTTTGGAGGCAACATTGAATACAGATGATTTATCTTTCATTGATATGCTATACTAAGAACTTGAGAGACCATATCAGTGAAATCATGAAAATTTTGTTCAAATAAGGGTTTATAGCATTATCCTTAGGAAGTGAATTCTGTCATTTAAGGAAGTACATAATGAACATTTTATCACTGTAGAACAGTTGTCTGTTATGACAGACAGACATCACTAAATGACTAATATCTACATTATGAAGATAAGCATTTCAAGAACATTTAATGATATTTTTTAAGAAAAGCACATAAAATAGTACAATACATTTCCAGCAGGTTTGATTTCAGTGATGAAACTGAATGCAACAGTGTAATGAAGGCATATTTGATGTAAATGGAATAAAAGTTTCCAGGAGAAAATTCACTTAATTCCTTTGTCTATCTTGTCCCTTGTATGATACCTTTTGCCTCCTGGATAATTAGTTTCCAATATTTGGAGAGGAAAGATTCAGACCCAAAGCAGTTTTGAAAGTGTACTAAGCTATAAATGAAGTGGTGTTCAATCCTGAAATGAAACAGTTGAAAGTAGATACTAGTGACATAATGTCATAGCAGTGCCCTTGTCTTCCCTGTTTATAACTAGTAGCTAAAAAGGCTGTCTTTCTAAATTGGTTTCTGAGAATCCTCCATAATATTTCCAGTAACACTGTTCCCCAAATCGTATTGTATAATAGGTCTTTTAAAACAAAAAACTAAATATAGACGATGCCAGGTTCTATCCAAGTAATTCTGCAGTTCACATAGAAGTTTTATTATGCCTAGGAAGCCAATTGGCAATTATGAAAAAGTAAAAATATCATGAATCAGTACCAGTGGTGGGTTCCAGACCCCAGTGCAGCTGGTACACTGCACACAGGACCGGGTGTCCTAGATGGGCATGCAGGCTGCACATGCATTCACACGCCACCATCCTGCAAAATTCAGCTGCTCAGCGGAGGTCGTGCAGGTGCCGCACACTGCGCGCGTGCACAATGGGCCGGTCGAGTTATAAACAGCCATGGTACATGGGTGGGCGGGTGGGCCAAATGAGCCACCGTACTGGCATGGCGGCCACTGCTCCTGGCTAATACCGCTACGGCCATACTGGGCAATATCACCCTGAACCCACCACTGATGAGTACTAATAAGACTATGTAGGCTCTGGAATCCAACTTATCATACTAATAGGCAAATCATTGTTCTCTGTGGTATATAAGTTATTTGCATTGTTATATATTAGGTGGAACAGAGAAAACTGTCCTAGATGGAAGAAATCATGAAGAACAAAAGGAGTCAGAATGGGAAGAAGAAAAGGCCAAAGAAGAAAACACACAAAGTGAGAAGTCTTCAGAAAGAGACCAGGGAGAACCAGAGAAACTGGATCAGGAAATAGTAATGTATCTCATTCTTACATTTTCACAAATATTTATAATAGCAATAGCATTTAGACTTATGTACCACTTCACAGTGCTGTATGGCCCTCTCTAAAGAGTTTACAGAGTCAGCATATTGCCTCCAACAAATTGGGTCCTCATTTTACTCACCTCAGAAGGATGGAAGGCTGAGTCAACCTTGAACCTGGTGAGATTCGATCTACCAAATTTCAGTCAGCAGAAGTCAGCAGAAGTAGCATGCAGTACTGCATTGTAACCACTCTGCCACCAGGGCACTTAATAAAAGTGTCCTGAACATAGAGCATAGTCCAGTATTGGCGAACCTGCTGAAACAGGAGTGCACGTATGGGGGGGGGGGCAGAGTGCCAGAAACCAGAAGAGGAGTTCCCTGGCACACATGCATGTGCCGGGAAGCTTGAGGTCCCAGTATCCGGTATGCGCATGTGTGCTGGTGACCTCATCTTCCGGTTTCTGGTGCACATGCGTGAGTGAACACCAGCTGGCTAGCGCGCATGTGTGCACCAGAACCCAGAAGGGCAACGGGCAACGGCTGCCATGCCCAGAGAGATGGCTCTGCATGCCACTTCCGACACGTCTGCCATAGGTTTGCCATCACAGGCATAGTCCATAGGAGTCATGGGGGTTAGAAGATTAGATAACCTATAAAATATTATTGTTATTGCTTATAAGGTTTGTTCTTGATGGCTAGATTTTTACAATTTTGGTAATACTGGCTTTTCTATTGTTTTTAATATTTTAGTTGCAACTGTGAGATGGACGACCATATAAATCAATTAAATATTCCAGAGGCAAAACTGTAGAATAACTCTTGACATCTTTGTACAAAATGGAACAGTATAATGATAGGTTATTTTTTTAATGATTCTGAGAATTTATTTTGATTTTTTAGTGTACAGCTGGAAGAATAAATAACATTGCAGTGTTAGATTTCTCTGTGTGTCTATTTAATAAGTGTTTGTGTTCTTATAGGATGATTACATTTTGTTTACCTTTATCACATTTTTCTTTTAATAAAGAATTGCTTATGGATATGTATCACTTGATGTACTCTATGTAAATATTTAAAAAATGAGCTATGCAATTTTCCAACCAAAAGCAACATGCTACCTATTATATTCAATTTATCTTGCATTAATTTGAGCAGGCTTTGGAGAGATAGTTGAAGTTAAGAAAATAGAATGATCAGGGTTTTGGTTTTATATTTAATTATATTCTTGATGATTAAACATCAGGATTGTGATCTTGAATCATACTTAGCCCATTAAGACTCAGTCCAGCCAACACTATCAAATATCCACATCTCTTAGCCAAATTATTTTTCACAGATGGAAGCAGAATCATGGCTACTATTATTCTTTCTTCTTTTTTCCTGCTCCCCATACTACTACTTAATAGAATTGGAAATCCTGCTAAGACAAGAATACAACTTTTGAAGTTTTCAGGGGTTATACCAGTTGTCTTTATGGCTAATGCTGTTCTGCAGAGATTTCCAGAGCAGTACTTGCTCTGATTTTCTTTTCTTTTTTTTACAATGCATTACAAATTGAACAATATTATCATAGATTTTTTTGGAAAATGTATTTCCTAATAAGTTATTCCACCAGTCTGATTGGTTGGTGAAGCTTTCTTCCCTTAACTTTAGGATATTCTAATCTTGAATACTCCTTGCCTCAGTCAGAGAATTGAATGCTGATTACCATATTTTTTGGAGTATAAGACGCCAACGAAAGGGTGAAAATCTGGATGCGTCTTATACCCTGAATACAGCATTTTTGGCCTACCGAAACCCTGTCCCCCTTTGCAAAAAAGGACATGCAGAGGGTTTGGGAGGCTTGCAAAATGCTCCTGGGGGCTGGGGAGGGCAAAAATAAGCAAAAAATTAGCTGTTTTTGCTAATTTTTGCCCCCTTCCAGCCCCCAGGAGCCCCCTCAAACCTCCCAAAGCTCTGCATGCCCCCCCCTTTTTGCAAAAAATGGCCCATTTTTGCGAAAAACAGGCCATTTTTGCTTGTTTTTACCCCAGTCTTCCAAAACTCTGCATGCCCCCCTTTCCCCCTCCTTTTTTTTTTTTTTTTTGCAAAAAATGAGGCGTGCAGAGGGTTTGGGAAGCCTGCAGAGTACAAAAAACTTTTTAAAAAAATTTTACCTCTTCAAAATCATGGTGCGTCTTATACTCCAGTGTGTCTTATAGTCTGAAAAATATGGTACTTTTTATGGATGTTCTTTGCAGTGTAGTGTATTATGGCTGCAGTATTTAATACTCATTTTATTTGGTTGAAAATGAATTTCTTTTAGTGTTTTCCATCTCTCCCTGGAAACCAATAGCAATAGCACATAAACTTATATACCACTTCATAGTTCTTTACGGTCCTCTCTAAGCAATTTACAGAGTTAGAGTATTGCTAGCAACAATCTGGGTCCTCAATTTACTGACTTTGGAAGGCTGAGTCAACGCTGAGCTGGTCAGGATTGAATTCCTGGCAATGTGCAATGAGTTAGCCTGCAATGCTGCATGTTAGAATGCAGTTTCACTGTATTCATGTGCCACCACGAAATTATGGGTGTGTGTCTATGTACTCATCTTACAGAAGTGACTGTGAATGGCTAACATCAGTTTAAAAGACTGCCAAGTGCAAAACAAAGAAAAATATAAAAAGCACAAGAAAGAACAAGAAATGGCAACTGGGATGATAATTAACAAAATTTCCAAGACTTAAACTAACATGCCTGGGATCCCATCCAGTTCATAAAGATTTCTGAAATTCCAGTAAACCTGCATGTGGCCAGTCTGCTGTTCCAAAGGGCAGGGGCTGCGACAGGAAAGGCTGCTTCTTGAATCTATGTGGCAACTTTTGATGAATTGGACCTGGAGTATCATCATATTTTACAGCTGATGGACTGAATAGAAACAGTACGAAAAAAGTGGTCCTAAAGTTTGGTGGTTAACAGAACCAAGGCTAGAACCTATACAACATGGTATTGGTCCAAGCTCTACTAGTCATGGTTCTTGTCTTTCTGAGAAATGGAGGAGATTAAATCATGCTTGGGTGTTTTGATTATATCAAATTGGAAGGAATCTTTACCACAGGGCAGTGTATATAGTAATAGGTAAAATATTGGATGGAGATAAAAGCACTTGGATCAATTCAGGTACTTTGCTCTAATTACATGCTTTTTTTAATGCTTTTTGAAAGCATGTCCAAGAATCATTGGAGATGAATGAAGAAATTCAAAATGAAATAGTAACAAATATGCAGACAAGTACTCTGAAGTCGGAAGAACATTCTTGCGCTGATGTTTCCAATCCACTTGAAAAATACATGAAAATAATACAGCAGAATCAAGATAAAGAACAGGGAAAAAAGGTAATATTTTGAATTAACATGAATAAAATAATTTGGAAAATATCAGAACTATAGTCATATACATTTCCTACTAGCTGTACAGTGCGTTTCTCACTAAAGTAAAGCTTTGCTAGACATAACCAATCAAAAGTGAAGCCCAAAGTTTTATCTTCTAGGGAAAAATTTGGAGTTTGCTTAGATGACTAAATATGAATGACTTATATAATTCAGTCTAATATAGGAATTTTAAAATATTACCTATCTTATATCTTACATTGACTCATTCCATGTTTCTAGTTTTCAGTCTTCCATCAGAACACAATTAACATATGGTTTGGACTAAAATAGCTACACATATTTTTTTTTTTAGAAATTTCATTAATTTACTAACCAAAAATGAGTTTCAGAAGAAGTTCAATGTACATTGTTCAACATTCTGTCTCCTCATGGCCATGTTGCATTGCAGGGTATAATGCCCTCAGATTCTAGCACATGGCTTTGAATTTGAATTTTAACATAAAACTGCTGACATAGCTATTTGTTATATTGTTCATTGATTACTTTTCAAGAAATGCAAGATGAAATCTTACACAATTCAAAACTATCTACAGATAGGATAATACCAGATATGAATTCCAGAATGTATATGGCTTCACCAAAGCATTAATTGATTTTAATGGAATGTTTTCAAACATCCTTTGAGTACTTTACAGTAGTTTGGCTCATTTCACTAATCCTTTATTTTAATTTTTAATTTTAGCTTAGGTAGTGAGCATACAAGGTCAGTAATAAGACATTCCAAATTCTAAAGTTCAGTTCTGAAGCTGAAAGAAAGACAATTACCATTTAGTTCCTTATCTCTTAACTGTTTCTTGCATTGGCCATTCTATGAAATATTGTCAAACCAGAACTGAACTAATTTTTTTTTCATCTTTGCTTTGTCACATTTTTTGCATCTTAGTTTACTTTACTTTATTGTCATTGCACAACATTGTACAACAAAATTAAATGCCATCTTCAGTGTACATTATAATTATAAAATAAAATACAAATAAACATCCTTCACATTCTCTACAATTGAATTGAAAACCAATATTGCATTAATATTGCACTATACAGTAGAATTCAGTATAGTTACTGCCCTGGGATAGAGGCTGTTTTTCAGCTTATTTGTCTTTGTTTTTATTATCTTGCAGCATCTACTGGATGGTAATAGTTAAAAAAAAGGGTGCCCAGGATGAGATGGATTTTTAAGAATGTTTTGAACTTTCTTAAGGCAGCGGGAGATATAAACTCTTCCAAAGAGGGGAGGGGGCAACCAATGATCCTCTGGTCAATGACATTAATGCTCTGGAGTACTGTCCTATCTGCCATTGTGCAATTGACAAACCAGACACAGTTGCAGTAAGTTAATACTCTATGGTGCAGCGGTAGAAGGTCACCAGCAGTTTTTTGTTCAGTTGTTGTTTCCTGAGAAGTCAGGTTGGATGGTAACAAATTATGACAAGGATTTTTATGACTGTAAAAACTTAGATTGAAAACAGGTGTAGTTGACTGATGATTGTTAGTTTGCTTGCTTTATATAATTTTTGGATACTTAGATTTAAATATTTAGACTTAAACAAGTGTAGTTAACTGATAGCTATTTGTTTGGTCATATCATTTTTTTCACTGTCTCCAATATTTTCAGTTTTTACATGAATTTCCTCTAAAAACTGTTGCAGTTTAGTAGATAACTAATAAATAGTCCTACCCTCAAAATTCTATTTATCCCACTGGTCCCTAGAAATTATCTGAGTTCCAAAGTAGAACACAGAATAAATGTTTGAAATGCTTCTGCCTCTTAGGGATGTTCCAGAGGCTCCTGAGACATTTATAAACCAAGTTAACAACTCTCTTCTTTCTGTCAAAAGGCTGACAAAGAAGCAGTTGAAGTATCATCTGCGGCACTACTAGGCAGTGAAAGGGAGGACAGGTATGCATTATCATTTTTTTCCTTGTCTGGGTTATACAGTCACTGAGACAATGCCTTAAAGATCCAAGTTCCTTAGGTGGGAACAATTGGGAGCAGAGAACTGCAAGTCTTGTTTATTCTACTTCCCCACTGCAGCTTCCTGTGTCTTCCAGAGATTTGCTTCTGAGGATTGTGGAACTCCTCAGAGATATCAGGAGGTGTGCTAGAGCAAACAGTAGCTTGCGTTGTTTACTCTTCCATAGAGAGGATCTTCCATTGGATAGCAGTCTTTTCCATTTGCAGCCTACAGGCTGAGACGCAAGCAGTGCTACCTTGCTCAATACTGCCATGCTTTCCCTTTTGTTATGTAGTACTCAAGGCCCAAAGATTTGTCAGTAAAAGAGCAGTTGGTTGAGGAAAGAATACAGGGGTCACAAAAGTGTAATTTTTTTCCATAGCCACTGTTCCCAAAATTAACATGATTTTGTTTTCCCTAGTGTTAGTGCTGCAGATATTCCCCAGGAAGGACCTGATGACAATTTTTGGTGAAGATGAGCTAGAGATAACCGAAAAAAATGTGATTGATATGGAAAACAATCCTTGGGCATTAAGGAGGATAATTTTGCATAACCATAAATATTTATGTCTGTAAAATAATTAATGAAGAAATAATATATTGGTACATATTGCTGTTAGTAATATTGCAGTTGCAGGCCTTGAGTGAACAGTTCTGGTATTTTGAACTTTGTATTATTTAAAAAATGTTGCTATTATGAACAAATTGTTTAAACTATTCTATAGTGTAAAGTGGACAGAAGCTGTTTTCTTAAATCGATTTACCTTTTTTTAAAGGTTTTTAAAAGGTATATTTTGCTACAATCACTATAGAAAATTGAAAATTTCTCCATTTCAATGTATCTGAATTCTATTGTTCTGTGATATTGCAGATTTCACAAATAGTGAGTTATAGCTCTCTGTAGCCAAAGCTCCCAAAACATCATTAACATTAAGAAATTAAATCTGCATGTTTGAATATTTTTTTATTTCTTAAATATTAACTACTTTGAACTAAGTGAAACAATTTTAGAAACAGCCATACTTTATATCCTCTCACTTCATATCCTGTACAAATGTTTTTAAAATAGGGGAATAACAATTATACACTTATTATGCAATTAAACTTCTTTTAAAAAGTGTTTGTGATTATGATCTCTTACTATTAAAGTAAATAAAAAATAAAAATTATTCGTTGTGATTTTTCTTCAAGCTATTCAGGGAAAGTTTGGAAGCGACTAACATAAAATAATGTAGGATCCTTAGTGCTCTATAAGCTTGGTTGCAGTTATTTCATTATCAAAAGAGGTAATATTAGTGCTAGAATGGAGTGGGTTTTGCTCACATTTGTATATTAGTGGCTTATATTTACATTTTGCAAACAAAACTTTTTCA